CTCTGGGAAGGAAGGGCGGGAAGAGAGAGCGAAGGGAGAATCTGCAGTTAGAGAAAAGCCATCCAGAGATTACCCAGGAATGTGTTTTGTGTTTCGTTTTGCAGCCGACTTTCTCTCCCAAAATGGAGGACAGCAGCTGGGGGTGAACAGCAGACGTCGGCGCCGGGGGGTGAGGGGCAAAGGGGTTGCGCGGGGTTTCAGAGGCAAAGCTGACTGACGCGAAACTAGTTTCCTCCGAAAAGGGTCGCAGACCTCAGCAAGGATGTCGCCTTGCCCACTCAGCGCCAGCTAAATGGGGGGACATGCGCGCTTCGCCTTGGCTTTTCAGACGACCATCAAAAGCTGGAAAAAGCAGAGTTGTGCCAGTGTGTAACCACACAGACATACACAGAACGGGAAACAGGCCGTCCTGGCTGATAATATGGCCCCAGAGAGCCTAGCCAGGGGCTGTTTTTGATTCCCTGCCCCCCGCCCCCAATCCGCATTTTTGTTTATACTCCTCCCCTTGGTTGAAGCATCCGGCTAAAACACCAAGGGGCTTCTGAAAAAATCGTGGATGTCTCACCTAAAAGCGAAGGAGCAGAGAAAGGGGCTTGGAGGACTAAAGCGAGTTTAACAGGCATTCTAACATTCACCCCCCCACACACACACACGTGTAGAGGCGAGGAGGGCAATCCATCCCATACTATTCGCCTCGAACCAAGCCACCTTGCTACAAACACGCACCATCTTTTTGCCTTTAAAAAAAATGCACACCAGGGATATGCTCTTGCCTGGAACTGTTTTCGTATTTGACTACAAACAGATGCGCTTCTCCCCATGTGCTCTTAAAAGGACTTCCAATCTAGCAGGATAATTAATGTTTCACTGTAGGATGTCTCGCCTCCCTCCAAAAAGAAAAATGCCACCATCGCCCTCCATCCTGGGCTGCAATCCTATTTCCACCCAACCGTTAATCCAGAGGTAGTTTTCTTTAAGAGACATGCAAAGAGTAATCATTGGCCTTCGGCTCTTGTAACTGATATGAGGAGATATGTGGCTTTGATAGAAGTTACACGCTGTAAATGGAGAATAATGGCTCAACGCCAAGGGGGAAGCTGCGCTGCTTTCAAGACTAACTTTGTAAGAGTCAGCATAACAGTGACACTCCAGTCCTCTAATGCAAATCAACAGGATGTGTCACTTTGGCAGGGACAGGCCTGCCGGCACACAATACAAGCAACTCTGTTATGAATGGGGAGGTTTTTTGGGGGGGGGGGGAGAGAAAGAGAAACACATCAGCAGGAAGAAAATGGCCAGAAGCAGGAGAGAAGACTTGCTAACCCCCTAGCACACTGCTGCTCTCAGGAAACAACATGCCTCCCTTTAAAAACAAAGAACAGGCTAATTGGAAAAGAAAGCTCAAGGAGACTGACACCGTTGCAGATTGGCTCTCAGTGCAAAGAGCATGAAATCCAGAAACCTGAAGCACAAGGACTGGGCTTTATAGGATCTGAGTGACACTTGAGCCACATTTCTATGCAGGGCACTGCTTTGCTGTTTCCGTTTGTTGTAGCCAGAATAACTAGGACCACACCTCCTGATTCAGCACCACCACCTCAAAATTAGCCCATCCCTCTTTACTGCAGATATCTGGTGTGTTTTCCATAGCTTCTCAGCTAAGGAATTTCTGAACATTTAAAAAAATGTCTCCCCGATATGCATGTTCTGCCTTGTTCCCGAAAATCCCCCAGCTGCTTTAGGACGTAGCAAGGAATAAGCTACTCTTGGAAAGCTGTATTTTCAAAATGTTTAGTTACCACCCCCAAGCAAAGAAACCCTTGGCATTGCAGGGGAAATGAAGGAATTCCAGTAACTGACACACGCACACCCTTCTCCACCAAAAAGAAAAGATTATGGTTTGTCAGCTCTAGATGACTTTTGAAAAGCCTCTGCAGTGAGGATCAAAGAAAGCTGGCTCATATGCCCAGACTAGCTGCTTAATGGGTCAGAGTAAAATTAAAGGTCACATGGCTGCAGAAGACCTCCATACAACAAATGCCCTCCAGCTATGGTTAACTTTAATTAACTACAGTATTACAATTCACAGCAAGCTTGTTTTTCACACATGCCCACTGTCTCTTGACAGTCTCCTTGTCAACAGAAATAGGAGGGGGAGGGGGAAGGAGTCAGACTACCTTGAAAAAGATGAATAAAAGGGGAGAAACCCTGCAAATTAAAAAGAAGTCTCTGGGGAATATTTGAGTACAATAAATCCACCATAGGGAGGGGAGGAACTTGCTATATTTCTTATAGACATATTGTTGACTGATGCTATTATTTCTATTATTTAAAATTCTAGGATTAGGCTAAACATACAGCACAATCCTATTCCTATTTACTCAGAAATACGATGCATGTATTCAGTGAAGCTTACTTCCTAATAAATACCTGTATTTATGTTTGCAGCCTTACATATATATTGCTCATTGGTCACTTAAATAATTTCAATCCATATATATTCCCGTATGCTAATCACACATTTTAAAAAACTTTTTATTTTTTAACAGAACAAAACTTAGGATTATTTTGTACATGTTTATTCCAATCTAAAAAGACTTCAGTAGGTTATGAGATTCATAGCATTAATATAATCCTTTGCAGAAAAAGTAAAAAGAAAGTTAATCTTTTTTAAAAATAATAATAATAACATAGTAGTATCCAGAGGTGATTCCCAAACAGGCAAAGAAAAACACTACAAAGAGGCTCAGCTCTGGTAATCTAGGTACACAGTAAAGTCCTGAACCTTAGAGCTTCATTTATCACTACTGACAGGAACAGAAACTAAAACTGTAGTACTAGCAGTAACCAAATACAAACTCAAAGGCCAAGAGGGCTGTTTTAAAATGTCTTTTCACATCTGTTTTTCAGTGCACCAAAAGTGCAAATGCTACTGGCTGCTGGCAACCTATGGCACAATGGACTGGGGCCCCCAAAACATTGTTGATGTTTCAGTGTGAGGATTGTTATGTACCTTTTCTCTAGTTTGCTTCACTGAAAATACCTTTTCTCTAGTTTGCTTCACTGACAAAAAGGCAAAGTTCAGGCGAGGTTTGTTTGCATTTTCCAGCCAGTCAGAGGGGCCTGTGTGTGTTTACTCTGCCTGTTGATCTGGTCACCCAATAGGCATTCTACCAATCCAGATCTCCTGAAAATGCAAATGTTACTTTCACAAACTTAGCAAGAATGAATGCATTTGTCCATTGCCAGGAGGAATGCAGTTTCATTTACTGAAGTCAATAAAAGCTCTCCAATGGGGTAGAGGAAGAGGAAGCAACTTACATCCCCTATTGCTTACCAAACACAGATAAGGATTTATTTGATTAAGAACTATTTTCAAGCTGTCAAGTTACATACAACTAAAATACATGCTACATAAATCTGGCATATCACCAATCCTCCTTGTACTTAGACTGGTGTGTATCATCAATGCCAAAATTCAGTGGAGACCTTTCCTGACCCCTCCTCTGCACTACCTAATTAGCTCGTGCCTAAAGGCTTTGTGATTTTTTTATGAAGTATGATATATACATGAAAATAATAACATCCACGATCACCACTGCCATCACCCTATGTATGTTTACTCAGCAATAGTTGACTAAATTCACTGAGACTTACTCTTAGATACTGTGCATAGGACTACCATTTTAGTACTGTAATGTTATTAGATACTGTTGTGTTATTCTTTTTAATGAAAAAGGCTTGAAACCAATTCATGCTATAATCCTACACACACTTATCAGGAAGTAAGCCGCACTGCACTCAGTGGGACTAACCTCTGAGTAAACACGCATGAAAATGTAGTATTAGTATTTAATTCCATTGCATTCCTCACACAAAAGATGTCTCTTGTGGAACAGAAAATCCTTGCAGCTGGGAAGGGAAAATGAAAGGCAAGAACGGTGAATAGGAAATGCTTAGTCAGCAACTGTTCTGTCAATATTAAAAGGTGAAATGTAAGCAGGCACAGTGCCAATGGCTAGATATGTTAGATAGCCTCATTAGGTAAATCTCTACTTGTGTATGTACAAATGACACAGAATAAAAAGCAGGTTTGAAGCAGAATAGTGAGGCAATCAAAAGGGGCAACATATTTTGGCCTCCCTATTGTCCAACTACTGGGAAAAGAAAAACTTACTCAGAAACTATTAATATCAATTGAATTTATTACAATTTACTAAGCTCCAAGGCACATTACAGTGTTCTGTTAACTACAGAAATGTATAAAGGACAAACAGAGCAAGTTTTCCATGTACAGCAATTTTGCTCTAGTGTTCAAAAGCTTTCGTGCATCAATAAAGCAAAAACAAAAACAACATGAAGATCGAAAATGTTCAGGTCAATAGAAACAAACTGAAACATTTTTTTTCTTTACAAAGTTGCAAAAAAAATCCCACCCCTATACCACTCCCACCATTTTGCAAACGAACAAAAAGAAATTAAAAAAAACAAACAAACAATAAAAGATGGAAAGTAAAAGTAAAAGACTAACACTCTGGGCTTTTAAAACATAAGCTGTCACCATTTTTGTAGCATTTTTTTAGGCATCAACACTGGCCTTGGCAAAAAGAAAAGGTTTTTTTTTTCAATTTTCTTATTTTAGAGAAGTGCATACATTTACAAAAATACACACCAGCAGCAGGTAATCGCTAAGGGCTATTTAACTGTGTACCTAGCCAACACACTGCCAAAGAAATGAGAAACAGGTATTATGTGGTAACCAAACAATATTATATTCTGTTTTAACAAAAACAAAACGAAAAAAGAACAGCTCTATCCTTCAAATGAAGAAGGGTACATACCTTTGTTTCAAAATATAGAAACATACGACGAAAATAAGGTCTATACATAAGACTAAACTTTTTGCAGTATTGTCCCGCGGGTGGTTTCTCAATATTCACAATTCTCCATCTTCAGGCGTCTGAAGGGAGTCGCCTTGGCTGTTCGGATTGTTTTGTTTTTTAAGGGTCTCTCTCCTTTTTCACTTTCACGTCCCCCGCTAAAATGGTCGCGATCTCGCCCTGCATAAATGCCCAAGGCACGTTGGAACCGACTAAGGGGCATTTCTCGCCGCTGGGGCAATAGACTTCGCCCGTGGCCCCCTGCGCCTTGATGCTCTCCCGGGAACACGGGAAGCAGAACTTGTGACTAGGCACCGAGGGGCACTGCACGAAGTGCGTGTCCTCCAAGCGTTCGTGGCAGATGGTGCAGCACAGGGGTCCGCTGTTGGCCATGGGCGAGTCGGGAATGTTTTGCGGGTGCACTTGGTCCATGCCCGGGTGGGCGCTGGGCGGCGGGGGAGCCACCTGCAGGTTCATGTCCCCGTTGCGCGACGCCAGGCTGCGGCGCTGGCCGGGCACCGAGGCGGGCGACACGGGGCTGCTGCTGTTCCTCCGCGTCGACGTGGTCGAGTGCACCGAGCTGCCGTCTTTGGGCGAGTGCGCGTTGCCCAGCGTGTCGGCCACCGACATGAGCGCCGCCATGGGCGACTGGCCGTTCTGCGGGGCCGACTCGGGCGGGGTGGTCCGGTTGGAGTGAGGCCCCAGCGGCGGAGGGGGCGGCGGAGGAGGCACCCCGCCGAAGCCCCCCGCCGACATGGTGAGCTTGAGCGCCTCGCTCTGGCTGGCCATCCACTGCTGCCGCTGCTGCTCCTCGCTCAGCTTCAGGCCGCCTTCCGAAGCCGAGTCCGAAGGCTCCGGGGAGGCCTTCCTCTTGCGCAGGCCGCCGCCGCCGCCCCCGCCTCCCGCTCCGGGCCCGCGGCTGGAGGCTGGCCCGCCCGCCCCGCCGCTGCCGCCGGAGGAAGAGGAGGAGGAGGAGGTGGGGGTCCTGGGCAGGCTGACGAGGGCGGTGGGCAGGATGGGGCACGAGGCGTCGAGGTAGGGCTGCGGCAACATGTCGGCCCCCACCATCTCCTTGAAGAAGCGCACGGACTCGGGCAGCAGGTCGCCCAGCAGGCGCCAGTCTCCGGAGCCGTGCTTCTTCTCGTACTCGAGGTACTTGAAGCCCGACGACAGGCCGCGGCCGAAGTCCTTCATGCAGTCCTGGTACATCTGCTTGGCCACGCCCGAGGCGGAGGAGAAGACGGTGCCCGAGCCGCTGGGGTACTCGATGAAGAGCTTCAGCTCGTAGTCCAGGCCGGGCTTGGAGACGGCGTCGAAGGCGAAGACGCGGCCCAGCAGCGCGTGGTCCTTCTTGAAGCGCACCTCGTAGGGCGTGCAGCCGGCCAGCGTCAGCAGCGTGTCGCGCACCAGCTTGGGCTTGCTGGCCCACTCCTCGGCGCGGTTGCGGAGGCTCTCGCTCAGCTCGGCCAGCGCCTCCGCGTTGCGCTGCTTCTCCTTCAGCTCCCGCTCCTGGTCGCCGCTGCTCGACACCGAGCCGGGGCGCTTCCCGCACGGGTCGCCCGAGGAGGACGTCGAGGACGACGACGAAGAAGACGAGGACGACGACGACGAAGCCGGAGGGCCCCGCGGAGGAGGCAGCGCCACCCCGGACGAGGCCGGCCCGTTGAGCAGCGTCTGCGGCAGCAGGTTGGGCGGCACGTTGAGCTGGGCGCCGCCGCCGCCGCCTCCTGGAGGGAGGCCGCTCACCAAGCCGCCGTGCGCCGCTCGCCGCGACGACGACGACGAGGAAGACGACGACGAGGAGTTGGGGCTCTGGCGGTTCAGCTCGGGCGGCCCGTCGTCTGGCGCTTTGGGGAAGCCGTTGGGGCCGCCCAGGCCATTGGGCATGCGGCCTCCGTGGCTGCCCGGCGGCGGCGGGTACTCGAAGCGGCTGCGCGGCTCGCTCAGTCCGTAGCGCTCCAGGCCCGACGGCGCTTTCGAGGAGGCAGCGTCCACATGGTTCAGCTGCTGCTGCTGCTGCACGGCAGCCGCGGCTGCTGCAGCTGCCGCTGCTGCCGCCGCCGCTTCCTTAGCCGACAGCGCCACGGCTTTGACGCCCACGGGCGGCGGCGGCCCCGGCGATCGCCCGTCCTGGAAACAGCCGTGCGCCCGCTTGAGCTGCCGCGCGGTCTCGATGACGAACTCGATGCGGTCGGCGCCCTCGTAGTTGACGCAGCCCCGGCACACGGGCTCGCTGAAGTCCCAGATCATGGCCCACGGCATGCGCGGCAGATCGCACAGGTAGCACGACTGCCGCCGGGACGACGACACCTGCGCCGCCGACATGGCTGCTGGGGGACGAGGAGGGCGGCTTCGGGCTCTGTCCGGTGCGCGGGCGCTGCTGCCTCAGCCGCTAACCTGCTCCGGCCACCCGGCGCTGGGGGTGGGACTGGCTCCCGCTTTCCCGCTCTTTGGAGGGGGCGGGGGGCAGCGGGCGAGTGAGAGGCGGGGGGGGGACCTTCCCTGCTTCTCCGTTCCTTCCTTCTCGCCTTCCTTTTACCTGGCCTGGCGGGAAGCGCTTCCGAGTCTCCTCGAGCGAGGGGCGTGAGGCGCGGGGAGGGGTTGGCTCCCCTCCCTCGCTCGCTCGCTCGCTCCCTCCCGCCTTCCTTCCTCCCTCCAGCAGCTGCTTCTGCCGCTTCTTCGGTGTCTCTAAGCGGCTCCTGCTGCTGCTGCTGCTGCTGCTCCTCCTCTTCTTCTTTCGCGCTGTTGGCGGCGTGGAGGAAAGGGGTGGGCGAGAAGAGACGTCGCCGAGGAGGGAAGCTGAGCGCGGGGCGGGGGCACGGGACCAGCGGAGCTCCGCTACCTGCTGCTGCTGACCCGAGCGCGGCAAGGTGGGTGGAGGAGGGTTTGGGGGAAGGAAGGACGGGTGGACAGAGCGGGGTAGAGACCAAGGGCGCCCCCGGAGCGAGCGCCTCGGCGGTCTGGCGGTGGCGGGGTGCTGTTTTGGCAGGCGGGCGGGTGCGCGCGCCTCAGGTTGGCGGCGGCGGCATCCTCGCGCCGCCAGCTCCTCCACTCACATCCTCGAGCGCCGCTCGGAATTCGAATCGAGGGGGAAGCCGGAGTGTCACTCTGGGCTGCCGCCGCCGCCGCCGCCGCCGCGCGTTCCGAGTGCGGCTCTGCCCCTCCTCCTGGCGCGGCGCTCCATTGGCCTCTCGCTCGCTCCGCTCCCGCGCTCCCCCCAGCTCGGATGCCACCTGGGTGGGGCGTTCACGTCACCGCCGCGCGCTCGTCCCCCCCCCCCCCAGCCTTTGCAGTTCCCCTTTCGTAGCACTCGCTGGCTGGCTGGCTGGGCAGCTCCCTCCCGCGTCTTCTCTTCTCCCCTCCCGCCCCGCGCTTCCTCTGTGTCTACGGACAGGGAGCCCACTTGTTGCGTGGAAATTGCGCATGCTCGGCACCCTGCCCATTTTCTCCCTCCTCCCCTTGTGTGTGTACAACCGCTGAAGCGAGGCGAGCTGCCCCTTGGAAACCAAGGAAACTCTCTCACACACACGCACACCGAAGGCTATGTTTGGAAAATTAAACACTGGCTCTTCCCCCTCCTCCGCCCCTCTCTTCTTCCCGTCTCCTTCAAGGCAGCTTCCCCCAAAGGAAAAACGCGGCCAGGAAAGCACATGGAGGAGAATACTATTGCGCCTTCCTGGCTGAGTTTTCCTGCCTGCACGAACGTGTCGGGTTGTGGGTTGTTCGGGGGGGGGGTTGGTGAGGTGTTTTTGCCCTGTTTTGTTTTCCTTCCAGCTCTGGGCGGCGCTAAGTGCTCCTTCTAGGCTCTGGCAACGGCACAATTCGCTGCTGTCAAAATGGAAGGCGAATATGTAGGAGGATTTGGAGACATTTCCTTTGGTACCCGGAGGCTGGTCTGCCTTGTTTATAACTTACAAGAGGAGTGAGCTTGCTTGCTCGCTTACTAGGAGCAGAGCATCATTTTCAAAAAGCATCAAGTCGGAATGTTTCTCCCGCTTTGGATCTTCTTGTAATGACACACACACACACACAAATATTTTTGTCAATGCTGCAGCCCCCTGCTGTTAAGGCTGGGCTCTCTAATGCAGCTCCGTTTCAAAGAGAGACTTTTTTGAGTGAAGAACTTCGGTGAGATCTATCTGTAAAATCAGGGAGGCAGGGAGCATATAGTGTGCCCATTTCCCTGCCTTCCACAGTCTGGGATTGCAAGGAACTGGAAGGCTCTCCACGGGCCAAAGCAGGTGAACGTCTCTCTGATGCTGCTTCTCCCTCGCCCGCCCCCCACCGCAAAGACCTAAGATACTGGGCCGCCCTTTTGCTTTGAAGTTGCCGCCCTTGCTGGCTCTGCATGCCCAAGCCCCCTTCCCTCAGCCAAGGCAAAGGGGTGACTGTGAGCCCGGCTTCCGCTCCCCGCAGCTCGCCGCTTTCCGTGCCTGCAGAGCCTGGAGCTGCTCTCCCCACGCCCCAAAGAACAATCCTCGTAAACTTCCCCTGCCGGGACTCGGGTTGCGAAGAGGCTTGCCTGCCAGGCGTCCCTGGGCAGGCTGCGATCCGCGTTGCGTCACCCACTCGCACTCCTGCCCTTGCAGAGTAATGAGCTGCCCGGGGGTGAGTCAACATTCCTCGGGGAGAAGAAAGGGTGCTATCCGCGGAGAAACCGTAGGATATTATGAGCTGGGTTGGGATGGCTAGCCCTTGCCTTGGAATAATATTTACTTAGCTCTTTGCTGAGGAGGGAAGAGAGGTGGAGGAAGAAACACTGAAAGAGCCTTTGTTTTTATTCAGAGTGCTTATGCATGCATAGGGTCACGCCCTTCTGCTTCATCTCAATCCAGAATCATTAGGGCAACCTGCTTCTGGGTTTACAAGCATCACCAAGGAGGACCAGAACACACATTCATTCCCCAGTTTGCATAGAGCTTTCAGTCACCAACCCCTGTGTGTGTGTCAAGGATTCACCAATCCTTGTTTGGGCTCCTGAGGAAATAGCCTTCTTCTGCTAAAATTAGCACCACTGTCTTTCAAGTATTACATGCTTGCAGTCAAGATTTAAGCTGCAGTCCTATATAAGTCCCTGGGAGAAAGTCCCATTAATGGGCATTGCTTCCAAGGTGATGTATAAAGGGGCTGCTTTGTTACAGCACAATTCTTTTCACATTTACTCGTGAATAAACCCCACTGTGTTTAAAGGGACTTACTTACCAATAGTAAGTCCCATGGGACTGCAGGGGACTCGCTTCTAAATAAGAGATGCATAGGATTGCACAGTCATCTTGAGTTTCAGCCCTCCAATGTTGGTCCTGCAACCTAAACTGCTAACTCAAAGGTAGCACCGTTTAACATGGGTGAATGTCCAGTAATGGAAGCTGTGGGAAAGACACTAGGCACCAGCTCTTCTCCATCCAGTTGCCTTCCAAAGTAAAGGCTTTCTTTTGGGAATATCACTGCTATAGCCCATTTCATTCGCTTCTGGGTACCACCGCCTTCTCGATAAGTTGCATGGCCTTTAATACTGCAGTATGGAAAAGGCAAAAAGTAGGCCCAGCCATGGAAAGGTCTGCTAGAGGGGGAAGTAGGCAACAGGAAGACAGGATGAAATCGGCTGGAATAGAGATTGGGTCATTGTAACATGTCACTGACATGGTCATCAAGGCAAAATGCTCGCAGAGGTCTCTCCCAAGAGCCTTTTCTAGCCTTTTACAAGGCTGGAATCTCCTTTGGGCTCTGTATTTAAGAACCTGGTTTCTAACGCACATCTCAGAATTCTGTCAAACGCAGTGGGAATCCCTTGACACAAGGTCAGAATCGGTGTGTTCTAAAGAAAGTGGATGAAAGCATTGTTTTGGACCACCGACGAAGTGTTTCCAAGGCTGCCTTTTCACCACCACTGCAGTGGAGTGGTGTCTTCTGGACTGGAGGAATTCCGCCTGGATTCTCCGAGCGTGACCTTGGACAAGAGTCCAGGGAGCGTCTGGCTGCCTTTCACTGGATGTTCCCTGGATTGTCCAAGAAGAGCTTAACATCCCGGGTGCCAGCCAGCCAGCCTCTTGGCCCAGCTGGATGGAAGCAAAACTGGACCTGCGCCAGCTGAGTCCTGTTCTCAAGTCAGATGAAATTGGTTTCTGCCTGAAGGACTTTGGTGTGGCTGCAGGTTTCCTGCTGCACTTTCCCTTTCCTTTGACCTGTGGGCTCTCTGTCCATTGAGATTTCTGTGAAGAGGCTGAATGGGAAAGATGCCTAACTTTGGTTCTGGCCTGAGACTTCCTCTTTCTGCTAGGCAGTTCTTGGAAGGGCCCACTCTTCTGCTGCAGCACTCTCTTGCTTGCCTTTCCAATTTCCATTGCCAGACACCTTCATGGTGAGGCACCCTCCGGATTAAAAGCACCCCGACCCCTCACTTGCCAAATAGAGCCCCTGGGGGAGGGGGTAACCCTCACCTCCCTGGTGGTATCGGCAGGTTGCTTGGCTCCCCAGTGCAGCATGAGCAAAGCCCAAGTCGAAATCCAGCATGCCTTTATGAGGCCAACCAAAAAGGTCACAAAACAGCAAGCAAACTTTCCATTTCTCCACCACTCTTCAACAGGCCAAGCAAAGTGTGAAGCAGGAGGGAGAAAAAGTTGGATTGGTTTTGAAGCCATAAAGTCTGCATTCATATCAGTTAAGATAGGAGTGGCGGAAGAATATCAGAATATTTTCAGATAAGCACTTAGAGAGCTGTATTTCAGTGACAGGGCAAAATTGCCTTCCCATGTGCCTGAAGGTTCCTATTTGTTTTTCCTCAATGACTCATCAACCTTGATTTCCAACTTTGGGAGCATGCTGCTGGCACCTACACTGGAGACCCTTTATCTTCCTTGGAAATACCCCCTCCCTATTTTTTTTTTGGGGGGGGGAGTGCTTTGGAAATAATGGTGATGATGGAATGAGAATGCCCTTGAACATGTACAAAGTGCCTGTTCACCGAAGCACTGAATAGTGCAATGTCACACCCATCATTAATACATATTTGGGTTAAGGGGGGGATGCTTCCAGGTCACAGGCAGTGCGTCTTGTTGGAGGGTTTAAGTCTCTTCACCTCGCTGCTTTAAAATATCATGCCCCCAAACCAGGCAGAGCAAACCTGAAGGGCGAGGAGCTGGCACAAAGTAAGCACAGTTGGTGCAACAGGCAAAAAAGAAACCAACAAAAAAGCGAGGCCACACCTCTCCAAGCCACCTTTACAGGAGGAGGGTTGTGGAAGCAGGGAGGGGTTCTCGGTTTATCAGCAGCTACCGAAGATAAAAGGAGGAACGAAGGAGCTGGGGTCACGTCTGCTTTTGAGGAGTCTTTTCTGCGTCCTGCTGGCTCTGTAGCTGTGTCCGGCCTCTGGGATGTGCGCGTTTTAAATGGAAAAAGGAAAGCCCTCCGGTCCTCGGTCCTTATCATGGGCGAAGGCGGGAGGGGCAGCTTTCCCCCTCCCCCCAAAAAATCAAGTAAAAAAAAATACTTAACAAACTGACCAATTGCGTCGCAGATAACTCGGTTCTGCCCCCCCCCCGCCCGCCCGCCAACGTAAAGCCTCTCCTGCTTATAACAAATCATGGCTACGCTCATGTTGCTTATTTAGCACTTGTGTAATCTAGGGATTTAAATAAATGAAATTAATAGTTATTAACAATGGGGCCATGCATCTGCCTTAATGGGTTTATAACACACAAAGAAAATCGAGGGGTGGGGTGGAATAGAGTGGGGGGTAGAGGATGAACAGGGCGAGAGAGGAGCGAACGAGCTAAGGCAGCAGGAGCAGCGGACCCACAAAGCGGTTCAGTCCTTTGAGTCTCGGGTTTAGGGCTCCGGCTCGCCCGCAGACCCCACGTCGCTTGGCCGGAGAAGATCCAGCTTTGTAGGAATCAGTCATCGCTGGAAAGCAAACTGCCCCCGCCAGCTCTTTCCCCACGGTGGAGCAAGGGGGACTCCTTACGAGCCTCTCCAAAGCTCCCGTTCATTCCCGCGTTGGTTAGCAGCAACTAACGGGAATATGACGATCACGGATGAAATATGGATCGGGGAGGGGATGGAAGAGTGCGCGGGCGGCGGCGGGAGGTGGTTGTTGTTGTTTTGGCGAGGTTGAGTTGTCTGCTTCAACCCAAACCAGCTGCCACCTTTCCAAAGCAATTAGTGACTCGAGGAAGCAGAAATCACAATGCTCCATTAAGGAGTCATAAAACAAATGCACGACAGTATTAAATGCGTCTTAAGGAAAATATTTAATAAAAAAAAGAGGATGGGGGAAACAGGACGGCTGTCTTTGCTCGGTATATTGGCTCCAGATTTTCCGCATCGTCGTAAATTTCGGAGCGAAAAGATGCTCTCCAGCCTGTTGTTCCTTATGACACACACACACACACACACACTCGTTTCACATCTCTGTCTGGGTGCAGAGATCATTACGCAGTAGACCAGAGGCTCTCTGTTGGCTGTCTCCAAAAAAGGTGTCTTTCCATCTAATGCGGGCTTTCAAAACAAATCTCCCCCAGCCAACCCCACCCCGCTCTCGAAATCCATAGCCAAGCCAGGTGAGTGTATGCATCTGACAACTGAGGTTAGAAGTTAGAATGAAGGAAATCTAGTCCACAAAAGGCCGCGCCATCATCGGGTTGTTAGTCTTGATGCTACCATCCGGCCGTGTTTTGAAACTGCAACAGACGGACACCTCTCCCTCTCTGGAAACTAATGATAATAATAAACCCACACCAGTAAGGGGCGCCTGATCCTGTGGTCCTAGGAGAGGGGGGCGGACAGCCCTTTCGATGGAGACAAATAGGTAGAGGGCAATTTCCATGCAAGCCTATGGCTGTAAATAGAGACCCTCTGCCAAAGCAGCTGGTTTTGTTTTTCAAGCTCGGCGCGGGGAGGGTGGAGAGAAGAGTATGTCGTGGAGGGCCAGGGAAATGTGTTCCTGAATTCCACAAATGCTTCGGAGTAGGAACCAGTTCCAGATCGGTGTCAGATGAAAAGTTCTCCCCTCCGCTGCCAGGAGGTGTCTGTCAAAACACCCGAGTTATCCGCATAACAATTATGACGCCATTCTGTGTTTTTAAAATTGCGTTTCATCAGAGGTGTTCCCTTGTAAACTGCACAGACGGTGTTTTGCATCGCTTAAAAAAAAAAAAGATAACCGCTCAAGTATTGGGCCCCTTTCAGATTTTAAACTTCTCTTTAAAAAAAGGTCTTCATGTTCTCTTTTCTGTTTTAAGTGGCTCCGATGCTTTCATCCCTTTGTTCCCTTCGCTCAGGTGACATTTTCTTTCCCTTCACAAGTTGCTTTTTAAAAAATAAAAATAAAAAAAACAACAACACAAAACCAAGACTTATTTATTCCCTTCCCCTACACCCGCCTCTCCCCTTGAAACCTTATGCATTATTGCCTCTTAAAAAAAAAAAAAGACAAGAAAAGCCTCAGCAGTTGCTTTCGTTTTCGACACGTCGTACCAGCTGATGCCGGATACTGACTGCCACTCATTTAATAGCGCCAAAGAAATGGCACAAATGATGAACAGATTAGGATTCTCCCTCAACACACACATCCCCCATTGTGAGCTCTGTGCCGCAGGACCCCTTAGGACAGCCTCCGCTAACCTGGTGCCCCCAGGGGATTATAGGAGATGTAGCCCAACAATCTGTGGAGGGCGCCACATTGGCGAACGCTGCCTTAGAACATCACGAGCTTCTGCAACAGCTACCAGGGAGTTGAGGATCCTATTTTTAAAAAATACCCATTTCCCATAGCCACGGTTACTCCTACTCTCATTATTAGGATTTCAAACGTGACTTTCAACTTCAGGACAACTCTGTGGGGCGGAGCCAGTCACTCACTGCCCAGTGTCACCGAACGGGTTAAAAATACTAATAGGCAGTGTGGATTTGTCTCAGATGTTAGATTTCGGAAGGAGACATAACGATCTTTTGGGGGTTCTACTCCTAACTATACAGTATTTCCTTTGAAGCCGGTCCTAGTGGGCTGCTTTGCTTTTTTAAAAACATGCAATCACCTGTCAAGCAGCAAGCACGCTTAAGATGGCAGGCTCATTTTCGATTACTGGCTTGCGATCCAGCTGTCTACTTGCATGTGCAAAGGGTTTCTGCTGCTGGCGCTGAGCTCTTGGCTCCCTTCATGCACCCCTCACCCATAAAAGAGGGCTCGAGGAAAATATAATGAAAATGATGTACAGATGGTATTTGACTCCTGTAAAATTAGCAAAGATATATCCTAACTGGGACAATCTATGTTGGAAATGTAAAGAAAAGGAAGGAACCTTTTTTCATATGTGGTGGACCTGTCCCAAGGTGAAAGACTTCTGGGAAAAGATTTATAATGAATTTTTAAAAATGTTGAAATATACATTGATAAAGAAACCAGAGGCCTTTCTTCTTGAATAACAGGTTTGGTATTGCCCAAGAAAGATGTTTAAAAAATATATAATTTTCATTATATTTTCCTTTAACACAGTACATGCGGTGAACTTGACCCCATAAAAGAGGGCTCGAGTGTGTGGCCCTTCTGCTTCACGGTTTCCGCAGGTTGGACAGAGCCATTTTCCTGCTGAGTACTTCAGGGGGGGGGAGAGAGAGAGAGAGAGAGAGAGAGAGAGAGAGATCGCGGCCTGCTCTTCCCTCCCTTCCTTCCTTGGCCTCCCTCCCCAGCTGCTGCTCCTGCTCCTGCCCGCCCGCCCCGCTTTCACAGACTGCTTTCAGCTCTCCTCCTGGGAGCATAAACAATCAACACGACTAAATCAACACAATCGGTAATTTTTCTTCCCCAAGGCTATTCCCGCTGAGGGACCCTCGCTAGCAACTCTCGTGATGGTGCAAAATTCGCCGCACGTTATTAGCTTTGCGTTGCAAGCTCAGCCAGCAAGATGGGCGATCAGAACGAGAAGCTGAGTGAAATAGGGGCAGCAGCTTCACTTTGGCCTACACCCACGGCGAAGAAAAACCTGGAATGGAGAAAAAGGCTTTCCTCGTCGGTTTTTGTTTTTTAAGTGGGAATGAAACAGGTCATTTTGGGCGGAGGGGGATGATTTCTAAGAGAAAGCCAAGGTGCAAAAGGGAAAAGGAGGATCGGATGGGTTCAGCAAACTCGACCCAAAATAGAGTTATATTCATTACCTCCAACAGCCTAAAATAATAGATTCGCTGATACACACGCACCCGTCGTATGATTAAGTGGTATATTCCTCATTATGAACGCTCGCTTGCATTAGGAGGAAGAGCTGGCGGAGGGGGGGACGTAAGGATGTTTGGAGAGGCGAATGTGGTTTAGAGAGGATGGTGTGGTTACCTAGGATGAGTGGGGCGAATTCGGAATCAAGATATTTCTCTGTTCGCAAGATATTGGGGCAATTGATCAGGATAAGGGAGGTGCACCCCTTTCTTGCAACCAAACCAAACTGCTTGGGTTTAATTCACTTGCATTAAGGGAGACTTAGTTGTCAGCAAATTGTGTCAGGTTTCCTTGAAATCTAAGGATTCAGGCATAAGCCCCTGCTGTGGACTATAAGGCCTTGTTGCAGACGCGATTGAGTCGCCCTTCATAGCACGTTTGGAGACTGCGTCCTAAGAAGCTTCCTCGTAATTCATACCGTGGTCCATCTCCCGCCGACTCGGACTCTGCTTCTCTGCTTCTGTTGGCGTTACTGGGAGAGAGATAAGCCTTATCTCGCTTGTTCTTCCGGGCAGCTCACTGAGTGACCTCAGCCTGACCTTTCAAGGTTGTTGTGATAATGGGATTGCTCCATAACTGCTCCCCTGACCACTTTGGAAGGCGTAGATCTCCCAGGTGGGAGGAAACCTGTGTTCCTCCAGACCTAGTCGGACTGCAGTCCCAATATTCACATTGGTCATGACTCATGAGACTGATGAGCGTTGGGCTAGGAGTGTGGAGACACATGATCAAATCCCCACTCCACCGTGAAGCTCACTGGGTGATCTTGCACCAGCCAGCTCAGCCCAACCTACCTCACAGGGTTGTTATGGGGCTAAAACAGGGGCAAAGAACACTAAGCTCCTTGGAGAAAGATGGGAAATTAATGTAATGAATGAATGAATGAGCAATAGCTGGGGGGCCACAAGTTCCGCATCCTCAGTCTAAGATGCCAATCCAGGAGTGCTGAGTGATTCTCACCTCCAGGAAAACAAGTAAACCTGCTTCTGATATAGTTTTCCAATGTTTCTTCATGGAGGACTCAAGCCATGGAAGCTTTGGCCATACAGTGGTACCTCAGGTTAAGTACTTAATTCGTTCCAGAGGTCTGTTCTTAACCTGAAACTGTTTTTAACCTGAAGCACCACTTTAGCTAATGGGGCCTCCTGCTGCTGCCGCGCCACAGGAGCACGATTTCTGTTCTCATCCTGAAGCAAAGTTCTTAACCCAAGGTACTATTTCTGGGTTAGTGGCGTCAGTAACCTGAAGCATATGTAACCTGAAGCGTATGTAACCCAAGGTACCAATGTAATCTGTTTAGTCTTGAAGGTGCCACAACACTCTCTGTTGCTTGTGGGTCAAGCTTTGATCTAGTTTGATATAAAACACCTTTTACCCAGTAGCAAAATGCCCATGAAAGAGATGAAATGGGCTTTTGCATTGAGCCTGCCAATTAACGGAAATTTTAGGAAACTTTCTGGGTGGAGTTTGTTGGGTTTGTTAAAAAAAGTATTGGCCCTGTAAACAACTGCCTTGATGGTCCATCTGGTCTGACACTGTCTCCAGATATGGGCAACCGGTGCCAGTTCAAAAATCACAGTATCACAACTATGACAGCAGTGCTGATGCACTACTGGCTCATCCATTTTGCTTATCCATCTGATACTCTGAGGTATACTGCCTCTAAACTTGGAGGTTTTATTAAACCAGCCTCCCCCAACTTGACACCCTCCACAGTTTTTGATCTACAGCTTCCATACTGATGGGAGTTGTAGTCCAAAACTTCTGGAAGACACTGGCCTGGGGGAGGCTGCATTTGTTACCCTATCGTAACTAATGGCCAGCAGTGGAATATCTTCATAAATTTGGGTCATCCTTTTCTTTGTTTCTTTAAACCATATCAGCTTCTTCATCAATGGGCTGGTCCAATGCTATTATTTCATTTCCAACCCCCTTCTCTGTCGCTTGCTGTTTTGACTCCAAACATTCCGAAATATATGATATATTCCTGGAGTTGTTTCTGTATTTGATTTCCGGATCAGTGTTGTTTTAAGAAAGGGAACTGAGGAATGTAAACGTAGGCTGACATCCTAAAAAGAGGATGTCCCCAAGAAACATCCATAGGATTCAGCTGCCAGGAAATGAAAAAAATAATCTTAAAATATTAGCATTACAGCTGCAAGTTTATCTTTAACTAATTCCTCTGTGTGTTTGTGCACTGTACATAGATAGGTGATAGATTTAGAGCAAGAAGAATATTTGGACATGGATGTGTATGAATGATTTTATGCTTGGGAATACATTCTTTAGTAAAGAGTAGTGAAAACAGCTCTTGAACGGTGGGCTGAAGAGAAATGAAAACAGTCCGCTGACATTAATGGGGCTGGGACTGAACCAAACCTCCACTTTGGAATGAATGCCAGACGTTGCTTTCCTGAACTCCTTCCAAGCGCCTGAGCGTCGATTTTCATTCTGTTTGTGCTAAATGCTTATGACTAGCACTGGAAAATGGAGTTCCTCCCTTGATCATAGAGATTTAAAAAAGAAAAAGAAAGAAAGAGGCAGGGGGAGCCGGAGAATTGTGCCAATTTGTTTCCATTGCCAGGAGAAGCCCTTGTGCTTTGAGTAATGCAAAACAATGTAAAGTTCCCATGAAAGCTGTTCATTGAGAACTTAAGAAACACACTCAAGAGCCTTTTCCCCCCACTGCGGCATTCATCACCAGCGTGTTCCAGAGATTCTCACAATGTCAGCAAAACGCAGAACGAGGTCAGGGGGAGAAAATCCAGTTATATCAGGCACACTGCCGTACCACGACCCTGTTAATCCGCTGGCGATTCCTGTCCGTTTGTTTAGAATAGGTGACCCGGTTTACTTTTCTGATCTCCCTTGTCCTGCGTGACAAACTGATGTTCGGCAGTGTGTGTTGTCATAGGAGGGTCATATTTTTCACAGGTGACAGCTACATTTCAGACTCACAGGTAGCCGGAACATTTGATTTTGTGTCGTATTACCGGCTCCTCTTACGCTGCCATCCAAACCCGGACACCGCACACATATATTCATACATGACTTTGCCTGATTCAAATCCAGGAAATATCAGGTTTCACTTTTAAAGGGAAAGTTT